AAAACGGCGTAAAATGTAATCACGTCGAAAAGTCCTGCATTCCCTCGTGCGGTGCGCTAGTGCTTTTCAGCAACATCGAGGAATTTATACCAGAAAGCGCTTTATTTGCACTTCCTTCCTCAATTTAGTTTTCTGACATGGGAACCAGACGATCAACCTGGGCAAATCTTTTGTAATTTTCAGTTTGATTTTGTGGCTACCAGACAGCAACTGAACAGTAGGTTGCTTAAGCCTTTAGATTTTTGTGCGAACGCACGCTTCAATTCCACTATTTTTCATCCGATCGCCACTGCAGTTTTCAAACAGAATGCATTGTGCAATGGAAAAAGCAAAAAATAAAAACGGACTTCTTCTTCCAGCAGTTCAAAATGAGAGTTTGGGAAAAAAAATGGCAGAATTTCTTCGCTGTGACGCTGCTATGATACCGATCATGGTATTCGGTAGTACCTGTGCGCAATTTTCTGAAAACAATAAAATATTTAGTTTTTCCCTTCAAAATATGTATTAAGCGTCGCTATTCATGATGTATGTATTTACATTTTATACGCATGTGTTTTCAGGGGTCCGAAATAAAAGCTGTTGAGATTAAAAAAGTGTTTTGTACGGCAAAAAAAATCTGCCCAAACGAGGGAGGATTTTCAGAATTAATTTCAGTTTGTTATGCATGCAAATGCATACCTCAGTTATGCATCTCAGGCGCACTTTATCGCAGGTACATTTCATCTCAGTTTCAATTCATTCTCGAGTTACAACTTAAGCTGAAAGAGTGTAAAAAGAAACGAAACTTTTACGACTGTTTGCTAAAGAATGTAGGATTAGCTTTACATTAACTTGAATCAAACTGCATTTGTGACTTAGTTCCAAAACAAAAAAGCCACGAAAATTTGCTTATTTTAAACTGTTGAAAGCATTAAAAGATTATGACGAAGAAGAATCACCTCACGTATGCTCCAAGCAATCAAGTGCAGAACCACGAACACCCATGGACGCGTCGTCTTTGAAAATGATCAAGGACTGGCAAATCTGGTGCTTTCCAGCCTGTGTTTACTTTCATAAGAATGCAGAAGGTGGCGGTATACAAATTCCCCACTCATGTAGTTGGGTACCACACTCCGACCCCCTCTGCAGGCCGAATTAACGCCAGCCACGAGCGTCGATTGCCCATCTGGAAAAATAGTCTTCAAATTCTAGCTTTAATGCTGCCGCACAATTCACAGTAATGTTTCAAAAGTCATCCCTGAAGTTTTGTACTATTCTGCTCCTCAAACACAGTTTTGAATTCGGACTGATTTTACCACTCAAAGCCGAAGCTACAAACTCAACAAAATTTTCTATCAACTTCACTTTATAATACATATATCAATCTTATATCAGTCTGTAATCTTGATGCATCTTAACCAGTGAAAACAGGTTGAAATTCGGATCACCATTAGCACAAGTGAACAAAGCTGGCTAGAAACTTGACTAGTTTATAAATATCAAATGAATCGAAAAACAGTCATAGCCTTTGTGCGGCCGACTTTTTACCTAACGGGCCTCCAGCCACAGCAAGTTCACCGATGTCAGTAAGTTAAGTGTATCTTTAGTGAGGGAATGCAATTTCAGTTCAGCGTGAGCGATATTATCTAGGCAGTGTGTGCCAGAATTAGCTGGTTACGTAGCAAGAAAAAGAAATTATAAAAGGGACAATGCCGACTACTGAATGGGCGCCCATGCAGTGTTAAACACAGGAAAGAATGCCAGTACGATAAAGCGTCCGCTTGAGCGGCTACGTGAAACTAACTGAATAAGAGAGGAGAATTAGGTTGCCAATTGCATCGATAAAAAGGATAAACGGGAGAAAGAAACAATATCCATTGAAAGTGTCAGAGCATCACCAAGTATAATGATCAGCCGAAACTCAGTGCATTTGTGCCAAAAACACGCCGTAAACGATAAAATACTTTGAAATTTGGACTGATTTAAGCGATGCATTGGAACAGTTATTGTGACGGCAAAATGCAAAATTTGGAATGACATTGGTATTGTCAGGTCTTTTCAATTAATATCTAGAAAAATCTAAAAAACTCTATTAGTATTTTTGAACATTTGGGTTAATGCTTCTGAAAATTTGCCCAGTTTTGCGCGAGGTGCCTTCGTTTGTTATTGAATGCTGAACGTGAGAAAAAGTAAATCACAACGCAGAAAAACAAAGGCATCACATTTTTGGCTTGATCACTTGTGAAGTGATTACCCTTATTTCGGTCAGTTTCTTACAAAAAAGATCTTAAAAGAACCTTTATGCACAGACAAAAACATATCATCAACTG